TGTCGTGGTGTTGCTCGGCCGCCCACTCCTCGTCCTCTTCCTCCTCCCCGCCCACCACGCCTCCTCGCCTTCTCCTCGTGCACGGGGCGAGTCTGGATGGCGCCGACGCCTTTCTGGAGGTGCTCAAAGTAAGTAGCTGTGCCTTGGGTTATTTATTTCTCAGTTTGTTTATCTATTTATTTGTCTTTATTTTACTAACTCTGATTAATTGTCTATCCTTATGCACGCAGGCGCAAAACACTACTAACCCCCCCCCACACACACACACACACACAGACACACACACAGACACACACAGACACACACAGACACACACAGAGACACACACAGACACACAGACACACACAGACACACACAGACACACACAGACACACACACACACACGCACACACACACACACAACACACACACACACAGACACACACAGACACACACAGACACACACAGACACACACAGACACACACACACACACCACACACACACACACGCACACACACACACACGCACACACACACACACACGCACACACACACACACGCACACACACACACACGCACACACACACACACCACACACACACACACGCACACACACACACACAACACACACACACACACGGAGACGCACACGCACACGGACGCACCACACAACCATCACACCCACACCCACCCACAGACACACACACACACACACACACACACACACACACACACACACACACACACACACACACACACACACACACACACACACGCACACACACACACACACACACACACGCACACACACACACACACACACACACACACACACACACACACACACACACACACACACACACACACACACACACACACACACACACACGTATGGATATACGCACATTGTTATGAATGTATACGCGCATACCCTGCGTGAATGATCATAGCAATTATCACAATGTGTTTACTCCGACATTCCGACAAATACATCTGTTCAACCGCACACTTCCTTCCTGCCAAGTACGACACTCACCTTGACATGAGGCCTCACTCCTACCCTCACGTCCTCCCTCACACTCGCACACTTTCCCTCCTTCACCCTTCCTCTCTCTCTCTCTACTCAGCGCGGGTATCTCTCGCGGAAGAGCGCCTTCACCTGGTAGACTGTCTTCACCTGGTTATGATCCGTCGCCATGTATGGCAGCCTCATCTACCCAAGTAGTTTTACGTAGAAGAGTACTACTTAATGGTCTAAAATCTTAACCTGGTAGGCTAATTTTACAGGGTAGATCGCCAAGTGGTAGATTACCTTCACTCGAGTAACCTTCACCCAGTTGAATACTTTCTTCCCCGATGCTTTTACACATGTCAGAGTATACTATCAAAACACGTTTCATTCAATACGGAGTCGGCAACTCGCCAACACATTCCTGCGGCTTTATATTCGCGTTCGCAAGAACCGAGAACGCACAGCTTGAACCATCGTGCGATGGACGATACACGTCTCGGTGATTGTATAGTGCGCATATGAACAATATAATGAGTACGTTTTGACACTGGAAAAAGAAATGATGACTTCACCATCCAAAGAACGAGCTGGAGGTTACTGCGCTTGGGTAACGAACCAGTGTTTTAGATTTGAACTTTTACATAATAGAATATTATTCTATGATATACTACATTTTTTATTGATTATGTGGAGTGCCTCCATAAAGTAAGCTACCATATTTTAATCTTGTCGAGTACTTGAACATTACCTTAATCTAGGAGAGTACTTTCACCGAGAGGGGTACATCGAATGGGCAAGGGCACTGTACGAAAATAAAACATTAGTGTCGTCCCTTTGCCTGTTAAAGTACAATTCGGCTTTTGTGAAAACTACCCAAAGACACATACACGAGGATGCCTTTATGGACGATAAATTTTCCTATACATTTTGTTTCGCTTGCGTTGTAAATCACTGGTTACGACAAGCTCAGTATGAGGCAAAACTGCCTTGCGTGCGCTTGAATGTATGGTGTGTGTGTGTGTGCGTGCGAACGTGCACGTATTCATGTACGTATGTAGGTATTTAGTTTTTTGTGTACATGAGGGTTTAAGGTATTGTTTTATTTTCCCCACATATATCTCCGTGTGGACATCAACCACGCGAGACTACTTATATATAGCGACACCAGTCTGATAATATACAGGTGCATTATAGCTGAAAAAAATATGTACTTAACAAAACGACAGTAGGATTACGATATGGAGGGAAGAGGAATGGGGGGAAATACAATGGAGATAAAGCGATGAATGTACGAGCAGATGGATTAACATAACGTGGAGTGGTTATATTCTCGGTAGAAAAGGCGTTTTTGTTTCGCTTGAAAATTCACAGCTCATTACATGACTGTTATGTGCCTCGACGATTATATTTTATGGGCTTTGATGAGACGCCGAGAGAAAATAAAATATAATGCTGCTTTCTATAACCGTTTTCGTTTGAACTGAAAGAGATAATTTCCCACATCGTGTAATCGCGATGTACTCCTATGATTACGTGCGACTCATCCATATATTCATATTCACAAGGTGTTATGATTGGACTCATCCGAATATGAGGCAGCTCGAGAAAGCATCGAATTGGGAAATATGTCTGTGGAATTACATATCCTATTGTAAGCAGCATGTATGTATTATTAGGAACGCGTCTTCCATCACGGCAAGTACAGCAAGGGTTGACACGAAGAGAGAACCAGCGGCGCGGGAGAACCGGCCGCTAACGATGGAAATATGGAAATTAATTGTGTGAACCCCCGCCGCCTAGCTGGGTCAACACACGTGGGGGCCCCGGAGCGAGCGTAAGGTGCGTGTGTCGCGCCCCGGGAAGAAGCATAGTCTCACCTGGACATCTTTGGGATTTCGGGGCGATAATGTGCCCCGAGTGGGTACGGCCGATGCACCCCTTCGAATTCCCGAGGATAGGGTTATGGTAATTTGTCCCACTGTGTGTTAAATAGGATTGGCTGAGTGATTACATGTAGTTTTGTACCCACTGCGTTATGGGTTCGCGAGAGCTCCATGGGTTCCAGTCTTGTATTGGCGTGATTGTTTATTTATGAAGGGAAGCTTAAACTTGACGTGCCAGTACAATAGCAAATTAATGTCCCTAATATTTTCTAAATTGTTCACCCATTACACAGGCGCAGAAAAAAATCATTATGCGCCGTAAAAATGTGAGGCGATTACGAAGATTAATTTTATTTGTGCGCGAAATTACCTACAGGTCGTACGTATGTACATTAAAATAAACAAATTAACAAACATAGCCTAACAATAAGCAGCGGTCGGCACACTGGCCTGATGAATAGTTGTTCAGAACCGTTATATCAAGTGATTTAAATGTCTCCTAATATTAGTTTAATAGTTTTTTTTTCACCGCCTAAGTATCACTCGAGTGTCTTGTGAGGCGGCGTGGGGGTGTGAAGCATAAATGACCCAACACTAAAAAAGAATATACGTGCATAAAGTATACATAAAACATACATATCCATATACATAAAAAAAAAGTCTTTCAAAACACACACACTGTTCCCGGTACACACATAAGTCTCCCGGCGTCCCCTTTTTTCCAGAGCGTAAGGTGCCACTTTAATAAGATTTCCTCACGCTTCCCATGCCGAGCCCTGTTGCATGATGGAGGAGAAATACCGCATCTTCACCGCGACACAAGACCCGATTACCGTCTTGCACAGTAGCTCGTGGATCTCGCCTCGTCATCGCTGTGCCTGGAAACGTTGCATTTTTCGAGTGCTCGCGTGAATGAAAATGCATCCCGGGTTTACCTGTGTTCATCTAAGTTCCCCTGACATAATCTGTTCTAAACTAAACTGGGCTACACTAAATTAAACTAGACTGAATTGAGCTTAACGGAACTAACTGAACTGAACTGAACTGGGGAATATCAGACATCGGGGGGACACCTTTGTCACGACCCTAGGACTGTCTCGATCATATATCTTCTATTTAGTTTTCCTTTTTTAGTTTGTTTAGAATGCTATTCAGTTCCTTCACTTATTTATTTCAAATCAGTGATGGATGTTCAGTGTAGCTGTTTCCTTCTTTCGTGTCTGTATTAATACTAATATAAAGAATGCTGACGAATTTACGTATGGAAAATTGAATGGAATGTTGCGGATGCACCGCTGCATTACGGTGCTCAGGACGGGTCAAATAAGTCACGTTAGCGTTCCCACGCTTGGGGAAATGTGAGAGCCTCTATATATAGAAAATAGGAATTATTAAGCTGACATAAAGTACGGTATATCAGCCATTTTACCAGAATTGTAAGCCTGGGTCGGAAAATTATTAAAGAAACTATAGTTAATCAGTAACAAATAAAGAGTATCACTTCTTACCCGAGATCATGACCGTGAAGTGAACAAACATTTATGTCCTGTTAATATTTCCTGTCACTGGCCGTGTGACTCGGAGGGAAATTAGTCCACAAGACCATCAGACCAGAGGCTGCTTGAGACAGGTGAGGGACAGGCTGCCTGGTCTCCATTAAGAGAACATGACTCCTCGTCTCTCGTCCATGTTCTTTCAGTTTCTTCGTCACATAACTGGAAAGTTTTTTTTTTCTGTTGTGTCATTCAGCCAAGAAATAAAGTCCATCACGAGGCAGGTCGCTATATGCTGCAGTATAGCAGGTGTGGCTTATTTTATGCACGCTTCAGTTTGTTTTTCTTCGGCTTTTTATTCAGCGCAGCATTATTTTGGAAATCACGACAGTGAAAATGAAAATACAAGTAATCAGAAATGCGGTTGGTATTGTTTTTGTTGTTATTATTGGTGTTGGTGTGTGAAAATGAACACATTCATTGTGTACATGTTTAAGATATATAGATAAGTCTGTATGTATGCATGTATATATATATATATATATATATATATATATATATATATATATATATATATATATATATACATATATACATATACATACATACATACATACATATATACACACACACGTGTGTGTGTGTGTGTGTGTGTGTGTGTGTGTGTGTGTGTGTGTGTGTGTGTGTGTGTGTGTGTGTGTGTGTGTGTGTATGTGTGTGTGTGTGTGTGTGTGTGTGTGTGTGTGTGTGTGTGTGTGTGTGTGTGTGTGTGTGTGTGTGTGTGTGTGTGTGTGTGTGTTTATGTATGTTTGTATGTATGTATGTATGCATATATATATATATATATATATATATATATATATATATATATATATATATATATATATATATATAATATAGTGAGTGTGTGTGTATGTGTGTATACTATATGTATATAATATAAATAATACGTAATATATTTAATATATAATATGTACCCCCCCACACACACACATACATACATCCATATATGCATACATACATTCTCTCTCTCTCTCTCTCTCTCTCTCTCTCTCTCTCTCTCTCTCTCTCTCTCTCTCTCTCTCTCTCTCTCTCTCTCTCTCTCTCTGTCTCTTTCTCTTTCTCTCTCCCCCCTCCCTCCCTCCCTCCCTCCCTCCCTCCCTCCCTCCCTCCCGCCCTCCTTCCCTCCCTCGCTCCTTCCCTCCCTCCTTCCTTCCCAACCTACTCCCTCTCCCCTCAATTTTCTGTTTCCCTCCCTCTACCCTTCTATACATCTATCTATCCAACATGTGTCTCCCTCTCAGTTCCTAATGTGTCTTCTTTCTTCCGCCTTTCCCTCCATCGTTCTCTCTTCCTTTCCTTTCTTTCTCCAACCGTCTCCTGTCCTGACTTTCTTTAGCCTAAATTCCACAATAGAAAACCAGCCAATTTTGACCTTGGTGTGTAAGAGGCATTGCCTGCTACCTCCCTCCCCCTTCTTTACTTCCTACTTCAACCTCCCCCTCCCTTCCTCCCTCCCTCCTTTCCCCTCCCTTGCCTCCCCTCCCCCTGCACCCACTCCCTCTCTCCCACCCCTTTTCCTCCCATATCCCTCCCTCCCCTCTATTGCCCTCCCTCCCACACTCCCCCCTTCTCGCCTTCCCTTCTATCTTTTCCCCTCCTTTCTCTCTTATCCTCCTCCTTCCCTTCTTTCCCCCTTTCCCACCTCCTTCCCTCATTCCCTCCTTTACTCCTTCTTCCTTCTCTGCCTCCCTACCTCCCTACCTCCCTACCTCCCTACCTCCCTCCTTCTTCCTTCCCTCCTCCTTCTTCCTCCCGCTTCCGCCTTTCCCTCCTCCTTCCTTCCCTCCTCCTTCCCTCCCATTCCGCTCTTCCATCAGGTCGTGGCACTGATCTTGAGAATGACCCCGATGTTGGAGTGCGAGCGAGTGATTAACATTGTTTCACTCCAGGAAATCGTGTATTCATCTTTCTTTTCAAAAGGAGATTTTCATTTTTGTTCTGTGTCAACGTCTTGCTCTCTGCGCCCTTTTGTTTCGTTCGCTCTGTTCTATTACCCATTCCGTTTCGTTCTGCTGCTTGTCTCTCTCTCTCCCTCCTCCTCCCTCTACTATTGTTCTCTCGGTTTGTTCAACTCCTCTTGTTCTTCATCGTTATCATCCGGGTATCAGCGTGTTATTACCCGAGCCCCGTGAAGATTTTTTTTTCTTTTTCTTTTTTTGGGATGTGTGTGGGGGTGGGGGGGTGGACGGGGTTGGCTAAAAGGGGGGGGGGAGCTGTCATCCTGTTAATCGCTAATACGTCTTTCTTTGTTATGTTTTTGTTCCCATGTTTATCACGGTAAGCGTTATTTGCCCTAAGGGTTTTTTGTTTTTCTTTTTTTCTTTTTGTTATCATATCGGTGACACGTTAAGAAGAGAAAAGTTTCGTTGTATTTAATTTCACGCTCATAAATCAAGTGTATGTTTCGGTGCTTTCACTGTTTCCGCGTATGATGTTTTATGGATTTATCGTGTTTAAGGAAAAATCTGAAAATATACCGACGGCAGAAATATTATTTATTATCTTGCTATCGTTTTAGTGTTTTTACAAGTTGTTGTTGTATTTGTTGATTTGTTTATATATTTAAATAGTTTTTAATGTCCTTATTACAGAAAGTTATGTTACAGTTGAACGAGGACGCTAATATTTAATTTATTTAATTTTGACATAAATAACCATAAATATGATGGTGGTGTTAATTTTGCTGATAGTCATCATGGTGATAATAGAAGCGATAGTGATGACCAGAATTATTATGATAATGGTGCTAATTTATATTGGGAAAATAGTGATAAAGTTTAGTGAATTTATAATTTCTTGCATGACAATAATTTCCAACATTAGTGACATTTCTTAAAAGTTCATTTCCTAGAAAGTGTCTGCCGATTTCCCACTCGTTGGGTGTTAAGTGCCTGAAATACACCCATCTGCCAAGATCATTTAGTACAATCCCAGTCACAGCTTCTCTTGTCGCGTTACTTCAAAACATTACCATTATACATAACGGGAGAACTGGCACACTGTATCATTAATGTAACCTACGAGATCCCGAGATGTTTATTTCTGACTACAAAGCCGTATTATTTGTTTA